AGGCCGATCACGCTGCTACCACACATAGCTAAACTGCTTGAAAGATTGTTGCTAAGACGCCTCCGCCCGTGCATCCAACTTCGGGCGGAGCAGCACGGATTCAGGAGGGGTCACTCTACAGCAACACAGCTGACCAGAGTGCTGCACCTGCTTGCGGCCGATTACAACCGTGGCCGCACTACGTTGGGCGTCTTTCTCGATATCGAGAAGGCGTTCGACAGGGTGTGGCATTCTGGACTACTTTATAAATTGGAAGAACAGACCAGTGTCCCTCCTGCTATGTTGCGGCTAGTGGCGTCTTTCCTGGCAGACAGGAAGTTCTACGTCTGCGTAGAGGGCGCCGAGTCCGCAACCAGAACCATCAGAGCCGGCGTTCCTCAGGGACAGCTGTTTGTCTCCAGTCCTGTACGCGGCTTATACCAACGACATCCCTACCCCGGCAGGCAGGCTGCAAGAATGGGAGGACGACGTGGAATTGGCGTTATACGCGGACGATAGCGCTTATTTCACCTCTTCCAGAAGAGCCCACATTGCCGCTGCCAGGATGCAACGCCTCCTGGACCTGTTGCCACCATGGCTAGATGAGTGGAGGATGGTCGTCAATGTTGGTAAGACGACCGCTCTGCTCACTCGCCGCCTCAGGAACCTACCACCTCAACTAACCCTCAATGGCCAGCAGATCGCGTACGAGAAGGCCGTGACCTACCTTGGGTGCCGGATCGACCGGGCGCTGCGCATGACTGCGCACGTCGACCTCGTTGTCCGCAGAGCACGATGTGCGCGGGCGATGCTACGTCCGGTCCTGGCATCCAAGTTACCACTTAATACCAAAGTGCGTGTCTATAAGACTTACATCAGATCAATTATCACCTATGCTGCTCCGGCCTGGTACGCGCTTCTGAGTGAGCCTCTGAGGCGGCGACTGCAGGCCCAGCAAAATATGGCGTTAAGAACCATCGTCGGTGCGGGTCGCTACGTCCGGAATGACGTCATAGCGGCCAACCTGAAAATTGCTACCATCCAGGAGTTTGTGGCCCGGTTGGCGCGCGGACTGTTCGACCGTGCAGACAACGGGCCACACAGACATCTAAACAACTTTGCGCCGCTACACTCTCGCCCTCCGGACGGGCGACCCTATCCAAGAGAACTCCTCTCTATATCGATTAGAGAGTCGAGTAACAACCCTCAATGCCGCTGAAAGGCCAACCCTGACTTTACTGGATAACCTTCTTTTTTCGTAGTCTTAACCGGCTACGAAAAAATTTCACCGATTACGGACAAATCCGAATATTGATACCAACAACGCCAATAGAAGGCTCCCAGGACCGGTCCATAGTGGTGGACCGCGAGGACAGCACGGGTAATGGGGGCTTACCCCGAGGCCCGAAACCTCCATGTGCCCAAAGACACGTGAAGAAGACATCATCAACGTTAGAAATCGTTCGGGACCAGCAGTATACATAATAATCAAGAAAGAAAAAGTGTATAGGGAAGTGATAGGGAAATTAATTACTCTCTCACGGAACGGTTTGAAGATAATTACTGTTTTATTCCCAAGGAATCCTTCACCTTTAAAAAGTAAAATACAGTCCACTGGTGTCGCTATTGCGGCACATATTGAATAATTAAGGCGTTGGGACCGGGACGACTTCGGAAGACCCGTAATCCCCGCCTGAACCTATTTGAAGAAAAGGAAGAGGTCGACGCCCTTGTGTGTTACTCCGTTGCGGGGTTCACATACGTTGTTACCGAACCCAACGTAGGTGTCATAGGAGGTTAGGAAATCTGCTGCTGAACCTGCCGGAACAAGCGACCTCCCTCCTTATCTGGTTCCTTTTCATATATATATATATATATATATATATATATATATATATATACATATATTTATCACTATGTAGTGTTACCATGTAACTTTCTTTTAAATCGTGGTACTGTAGGTCAATTTCTAACAGATAAGTTGTTTTTATTTTATTTCCTTTTGTATACGACTGTTTGTTGCCAAAATAAATTTAAAAAAAAAACAAGTTAATGTTCTTAAACCACTTAAAATACTCATTCATCAACTACAAATTTTTTCATCAATCCATTGGAAATGTAGAAAAGATTTCAAAATCCATTTCAAACCAATACATAAAAAAATAAAATAAGAGCAATAATTCGCTGCAGTAAACTTCTGCTTAAACTACAAAAAGCATTTTAACTCAATAAACCGTAATTTTCTTTTTAACTAACTTCAATTGATCCGACTTTTATTACAGAGTAAGTTTGGCGAAGAAAACCCTTTAACCGTTTTTCTTCACGGTGAGCGGAAATAATACAATTGAAATTTCAACACAGTTACGAAACCAATTACTTCTTATCTTACTAGCCGGTACGTGATACGAAATTTGATAAAATGATTTTGTAACATTACTTACGCTACGCCCCCTGCTCTTCAGACAATATCTGCTCGGGAGCGAATAGGTGGGGTACTCTATGACGATGATGAAGGTTGAAGTTTCCAAAGGTGGCTGTGAAGGAAAAGGGGAGATCTCCCGCCGGGCAAGGTGTTGTGCCCGGGGAGCGGCCAACGCTCTTTGTGATAGTTCGGAGATGTTCTACATATACTGTTTATGATTCGGAATGTTGATAGCGTGATTTAGGCTTCGGTGTATTTTGCTTGTGGCGCGACGACAGCGCCGCCACATCACCCCTCTGCTCAGACCGGAGGTCGATAGTGCAGTCCGATTGCCGGTGCGTCCTTAATGCCGGTGCGGAATGCATGCTGCGTGCGTAAGGTCAAGTGAAACCAGTGCGAATGATATGCCGATGTGTAATGCATGCCGTACTACGTACTGGCAAGCGATGCCGATGAGAACGACGTACCGGAGCAAGTGCCAGAAGTCTGCCTTATAAATCTGCGGTGAGACAAGTTGGACTGGCTTGCAGGAACTGAAGACTGCGGAAGACGATTCTCAATAGTGAATGGTGGGAGTTCTTGAGGATAATAACGAAGGCTTGAAGTTGTAGTTTCCGAAGGAGGTTGTTGGTTGCGTGTTCAGATCACGTCGGGGTCACCACTGTGGCCGTAGAAGGAAACGGGGAGATCTCCCGCCAGGCAAGGTGTTGTGCTCGGGGGCAGCCAACGCTCCATAGTTCGGAGATGGTCTTTATATGCTGTTTATGATTCGGAATGTTGATAGCGTGATTTAGTCTTCGGTATGTTTCGCTTGTGGCGTGACGACAGCGCCGCCACACTATTATTTGGCGACAGAAATAGGTAATATATATTTATATTTAAATTTTACGCCACATTGCCCTTTTTGTGAGCTTTCATGTCACGTTATTAATTTTCCAATTAAAACAAACTTAATAACCGAGTTCGAGAGAATAACCTATATTCTTGTGTGTCTTAGAAAACCCAAAAGCATATATGATATTGTTAGAAGCCTCCGGGTTTCAATAATACCACGTACAGAACTTAGTAAGTATTAATGGATCGCCTCGAGGTTCAAGAAATTTCCCTAACATAATACAAAGAAAAATAATGAGTTCATATTCTTGTTATCTCAGAAATAAGAGTAAGTCCATGCTCAGATATGCATATGTAACTGATACTTCAGTTTTTTTACTTTTTACTGACTTCAAAAAGGAGGATTATTCAATTTGACTGTATGTTTTTTATGTGTTACCTCAGAACTTTTATTTGGGTTAACCGATCTGATTATTTTTTTTATATGAAGGCTTGTACTTCTCATGTGGTCCCATATCAATTTGATCAAGATCCGACTACTAGTTTTTGAGTTATCCTTAATAATGCGTATTTAATTGACTGTTGTTCTCATTTTAATTATATTGAAGTCGGGTGCATAAAAATTTTAATTTCACCACTTGTTAATTATAACAAAAGGTCGAGCCGATCAACACACGTACTGGATACAACTTTTTGTCTACTTGCGTATTTTGCCTACGTGCCTCTTATATTGCTTCCCTGCCTGTGATCGTACGCTACATTATGTACGATTAGATTTGGACGGAATAGGGTCTTTGTGTTTGTGCGTATACTTGTGGTCTTAGAAATAAAATAAGAAATTGAAATATAAGTTTTAATCAGAATAATAAATAACACTTAACTTCCCTTTTTATTTAAGTTTATTTTTGTGTAGCGATAACAACAAATCAGTGTTTAAGTACTCAGTGTTAACACATCTCTAACCACATTTGTTTGAAACTGGCTGCACGTGGAATGTTAGTTTTTTGTCATACACGTTTTTTTAAGTTTAATTTACAATCTACTAAGCACCACAAATCACATCACTTCACTGGAATGAGGCATTTTCTGCACCTTGTACCAGTGAACTGAATCGGCCGTAAAATACCTTTTCTGTCCTGCCAAGAAGACTTACTCATATAAAAAACGAATTACCATCCCACTTCCGATCCAATTTCGTCATTACATTAACCCAAAAATAACACATTTAACTAAAAAAAACGTATTAAAAACAATTCCGTAATTACTTTAGAATTTTGAATGAACATACATTTTTGGCGAGGGATCGCAAAGCTGCCTTTAATTACTGAGCTGGAAGTACAAATATACACAAATAGTACTTCCTAAAATGCATTTTATTAAATAAGTTTGTTTTAAAAACATACTATCATTTTAAGAAAATTAATAAATGCAAGCAAATATTTTTTTTTCTAAAATTTCCTTAATACTTTTATAAGTATTTATATGTTCATAAAAAGTTACCTTGACTCACAATTTAAAGAGTAAGTTATGCAATGCATGACAACACTTATGGCCATGTTTTACAATATTAAACTTACCAACTTACTTTCTGATAATGCAAAACACGTTCTTCTAAAGCACAGCGCTTTATGATATATTATTTTGACATGCACAGATTTTTAAATTTTTTATAATTATTTTTAATTACAAAACATCAACGTAAAAATCTTGTAATCACCTACTCCTATAATACCACTTCGTTATAATATTCTTTTCACTTAGTATACTATGCAGTCACACCTACTACATTATCTTGAAACGTTTTGTTCAAATTGGAAGTTGGTTTTGGTACAATATATGTAGCTATTGTTCTTGTCATTGTGTAAATCTTACGTCGGTTTGGTCTGCTACGCGTGTTCAAATGCAACTGAAGTGTTGTTTTAAAATCAGTCTCACTCTCTTGATTTCTTATAGCGGCTTTCCGCACTGAAGACTTATGGTCTATCCGATCATCTGGTAACTTGTTTACATCTTGAGATGATGATACAAGGGTATATCTTTCAGGTATAGAATAAATATTATTATTTTGTACAACTCTGCGCCAATTTTTTAGTTCAGACTCATCATAATCCGCTAAGAATGTTACATTTTGTCCATTTGCAATTGTTTTATTTTCTTTGGACTGTAATCAGTAATACACATTTTATAACAAAAAATTTCCTATCCGTATATTTAAACGAGTATGTGTATTTTACCTGTGAATATTTTTTTATTGCAATTACTTTTGTACTCGAATGCCAGTGTTTTTTCAACTTCATTAAGTAAATGTAATTAAGAATCGCTTTCATTTGATCGACAGATCCGCTAGGGTATTTGGCGATTATCTACAATCATGAACTTGTTACATGAACGTTATAATCAGCGTAAAATCAATTAAATTAATTTTTTAATAATGTTTTATGGTAATATGATAGTCCAATTACTACTATAAAATGAGCAGATAATTCATCTCATGACAAGTGGATGCTGTAGTCTATAAACTTTTTCTTATTAAATTCTCAATTAAGAATCAGTACTAAGATACGTTATCACGCTTAACGACCAAGATAAAATGCCTCGCTATCAGTAAAAGGGTATTATAAGAAATATAGCAGTATTACAATGTTATTTTAGGCTAATAGTTATGATATCGAGCCAACTCATTCGTGGTATAGCCATAAATGCTACAGCGTAGCTGTTAACTAAACCCCTTCGGACGTTTCGCCAAGTTATCTTCATTATTAGTATAAAGGCTGTTGATGATGAAGTGTACATGTAAATGTAACTGGTGTGTACAGTTAAATACAATATTGGCAATAGCCCTACCAAAGATTTACAACTTATGATGCGTTACTTGGACGACTTTCTTAAACTTATCACGTTGAGCAAGTTATTGAACGCAAATTTGGCTGATATCCCTTAAGCAAAAATAGTACCCCTTTAACTATTCTGTGATCAGAATCCGTCGCTAGAGCCGCATCTGTCAGCGTGGGAGGATCACTAAATATCACTTTATATCTCTCCTACCCGGGGTACAAAGTAGAACACTCCTTTGTGCTCCAGGCTACAGGCTTCTAGGCTAAAATTTGCGTATACGTCAGAGAGGACATCTGTTTTCGATGCCTCGGCAGTCTTGAAGTTACGGACATGTCTATCCTATGGCTGCGCGTAGACAGCAACGAACATCCCCGCCTCATCGAACACACCCAAATGGCTACAGATTCCTTGCTACAGCAGATCTCATCCACAGAGAGCGTGATCCTTGGCAGTTTTAACGCCCGCCACGCTGAATGGTTCACGTTTAACCGATCATGCGGGGAGATCTGTTTATGACTTTGCCTTGGAATATGGTCTTACACAGCTGGTTACTTTGCCTACGCGAATTTCAGATGTGAGAATTATGCACATTCCCTGTTGGACCTTCTGCTGACCTCTCATTCGAACGGATATCAGGACCATTGTATTGTCCGAAGTATGGTGCCACTCACATTAATGTCGCGGTTGCATTCTACAGGTTGCGGCTGTGTTTGGTACAGCCGATTAGGATAGGATGAGGTCGTTTTTCGCGTCCTACCCTTGGGGGTGGGTTTGCTTCTCGCCAGAAGATCCCAGCGTTGTTTCTGATTCTGTTGCTGATGTGGTACTCTGGTATGGAACTTTTTATTTCATCCTCTGTGGTGCCCATCGGAGGCAGATCCCAGCCATGGTTTGGTCGCTCCCGTAAAATAGCATTACGTTATAAGTAGGAGTGCTACCGGCCTTGGGCTGACGCATCAACGTCTCGAGATGTAAGCACCAGCGCTGTTAAAAAGATGTATAATTCCATCTCCAGGTACTTTAAAAAAGTCATTGCCAAGGCAAGGTCTGAGCACATCGACAGAATTGGCGCGAAACTAGTTCGCCATCCGTGAATTCTGGTCTCTCGCAAAGGCTGTCCAAGGGAACTTCTGTCAGCCATCTCTTCCATCTCTATACAGAGAGGACCACTCACTGGCCTATGCCATATCCAAAGCCAATTTGTTAACCTCGCTTTTTGCGTCCAACTCGCCTCTCGATAAAGGGGGAATACACCGCTAAACATCCCGTGGTGTGAGTGCTCCATACCGGATTACGGTTTACAAAGCACTTATCTCAAAGTCAACAAGGCGAGTGGGCCTGATGTAGTCCCTAATATTGTGCTGAAGACGTGTGTTCCGTAGTTGGCACCGATGTTAACGTGTCTTTTCCGGCACTACTACTCCTGAGACGTAGTCCCAAATTCATACAAGACAGATTTGGTTCACCCGATCCCTGAAAAGGGCGATCGCTCAGACCCGTCCAACTGCAGGCCTATTGCCATCACCTCCTCGTCCTCCAAAGTAATGGAGTCCATTATAAAATGCCAGATGATGATATATCTTGAGACCAGCTGATTAGTGACCGCCAAAACGGTTTTTGTCGTGGTCGATTAGATGATGATCTTCTGGTGTACCTGACTCATAGATCGGCGGAGGCAGTAAAGTCTAAGAGGAAGGCGTTGGCCGTTAGTTTGGACATAGCGTAGGCCTTCGATGGGATCTGGCACAAAACGCTTTTTTTGAAGCTCCCTTCTTATGTGCTTCCAGAGAAATTGTGTAATTGGATCACCAGCTTCCTTGCTGATTGGAGAATCAAGATCGTAGTAGATGGTGCATGCTCTGACTATAAGCCTATTAACTTTGATTCTGCATATAAATATGTTACAAACTGATAACAATCATTGTTATGGAGACGACAACACTGGAGATGCCTTATAAATCGGCCGTGCCAACATTTCTCGGAAAAACTTCGCCAAGTACCGGGACAAACATAAGCCGAAGTCGAGTCTTTATTTAACAAATTTTCGGAGGGAGCCACTAAATCTAGTCCAGTTCAATCACCAAAAGACACAAGTTTGCGCGTTTACCACTAAAAAGAACCAATTTGTCGCATCTACTCAGTTTCAAGTTACTCCTCTTGGCCAATATCGGAATCCCTGACGTCGATATATTGAACGATGTGCAGTTTCGTGGTCACTTGGAACAGAAAGCCAAATTGGCCTCTAATAAGCTCGGCGTGCTCAGTTGATCGAGACAGTATTTCATGCCGGCACATCGCTTGCAAATTTAAAAAACGCAGGTTTGGCCTCACATGGAATACTGTTCTCTTCTCTGGGTCGGGGCACCACAGTGCCAGCTCCTTCAACTTACTGCAACCAGCGCAGGGCGGTTTGAATCGATGACGACCGAGTTCTCTCTGATCGGCTCGATTTACTAGCCGTACATAGGAGTGTTGCATCTCTTTGCATTTTCTATCGCATCTACCACGAGAAATTGTTCGGAGTAATTCCAGCCGTCAAATTTTACGAACGCACATCGCGTCAAAATTCATGATACCATCCTCACCATTTGGATGCTTGTCGGTGCACCATCGTGCGTTATAGGAGTTTTCTTCCTCATACAACTTCTCTGTGGATTTTCTACCACCGGCGATTTTTTCGGTTCGATACGATTTTCATGAAAAGGGGTTACTTCTTTCTAAAAGACCGGCAAGGCACCTGCAATTCCCCTAGTGTTGCGGTTGTTTACGGGCGGTGGTAGTCACCTACCATCAGGTGAGCCACATGCTCGTTTGCCCCCTCTGCTATAAAAAAAGGAAAAGTTTGCACTATCTCAGTTATGCCGAACTTAGGCTATTTGTGACAATGTATTAATTTATAACGAACTTCTTCCAATGCCTGCCCTTTTGAAACGGAGTTCACTAGAGCCGTTGCTGTATCCAACGATTTTGTAAATATGGGTAATACTAGTCTTTCATATTTGTTTTCTCCATCTGTTTTAATAGCAACTTTATACAGTTGTTTGTTTGAAGTAAATCTATCTGCATATCTATTGTCTGAGGGTCCACTTTGTTCTGAAACACAAATATTAACGCTGGCTTACTTTGTCTAGTGAATCTATGTATCAGGAGATAGATAGATATCAGAGATATTATATCAGATAAACTTTTAACTAAGGGGTAGAGCCACGCTGCAACTAAATACTCGTACAAGATGCAAAAAACCCTGTTGTTTCCATTAAGTGCGTTTACAGATTCATTATTAAAACGTATAGAAATGACTTTACTTCCGAAAACTCGATTATATTTTTTTTAATTTAAATAAATTTTTATTCGCAACTATTTAAAAAAATTAGCGGGTTTCACTCTGTCAAAACACATGGGACGATACGAGGTAGTGGATATTAATACACCGCCACTACACGGTTAATTAATCGAGAGAATTAATCACCCGCAAGGTATCGTGATTAACTCTGCATATTAGGTTCTCTTTTCAAATTCAAGTGTTAAGCAACATTTTTGAAACGATCAAATATTTGGAAGTGGATTAGGAGCGCATTTTTAAGAAAAAGGAGAAATTACAACTAAAACTAACTATTTAATAAATATAAATATATTAATTAGTTAATTAATATATTATTAATTAATTAATTAATAATATGTAAATTTCTGTATTTGTAATAAAATCTATGCGTCTGTCTGTAAAAACGCAAAATAACTGCCTCAGAAAATTGAGATTAGATGATCAATTATTCCTAATTTTTTTGTTAGTATAACTATCTGTTTGTCGGTCTATCCAGGCTAATTTATTAATAATAAATCAGAATTATTTTACCGATTATGATGCTAACTTAAGGAACAAATAGTGAGTCAATCTATATGTTATATTTTTTCCAAATACCTTGGAGACGTTTTGAATGTTGTTAATTATTAACTTTAAAAATTAATGTGTGTGTGTGTGTGTGTGTGTGTGTGTGTGTGTGTGTGTGTGTGTGTGCGTGCGCGTGTGCGAGTGCGCGTGAATGCGTGTGTGCGTGCGTGCACGTACGCGTGTGCGTTTATGTATGAGTGTGCGTGTGCGTGACCGTGTACGTGTGCGTGTGTGCGTGTTTGTGTGTGTGTGTTGTGTGTGTGTGTGTGTGTGTGTGTGTATGGATGTATTTAACCCTCTCATAACTTTTGAATGGCTTGAACGATTTAAACGAACTTGGGGGCGTTCAGCAGGGCTTCTTAACTTAGATTTTTAATATTATTTCAACCGATTCCAGGATGGTTGATTTGGAGAAATCGCAAAAATAAAAAAATGTTTTCTTGAAATTACTTTTAAACAGATGTAACGATCAATTCCTAAATTTAATCAGCTCTTAAACTCAAAAAACGCAGTCGACAACTGCAAACCACATCGAAATCGCTAAATGTCTTGAAAAATTTAGAAAAGAGGATTTTTTACAATAACTTCGAAATTTTTGAATCGTTTTAAATGTAATATAACTACCTATGAGTGCTGCATCGAATGCTTTCAAGTTTGTCAAAATCGGTTGATTTGTTCGTGAAATATTTAGTTTTGAAAAAAAAAAACGTATTTTTAAAAATTATGATGAAAATATAAATTTGATAAAGATCTGTATTTATTGTTTTTGAGTTATCCTTGATAATGCATAATTAATTGACTTCGATTACTTTGATGATGTTTTTATTTTATTTATATTGAAGTAGATTGCACAAAATTTTTAATTTTACCTCTCGTTACTGAATATCTTTATTATTACAAAATTTTATAGCAAGAACTAATATTTCCTGCAAAATAAAATTCTTAAATTGAACTAGTTTATAGGTCGAGGTGCGGCCGAAGGCGCGACCATTTGTTCCCATGACATACCCTCCGGATATATCAAGGTAATTAAGTTCCTTTAACTGATGTTGTATGTGTACTCGTCACTTATTTTCTGCCTTGTTGGTCAGAAAGTAAGTAAATCCGTTAGTTCTGCGCCTGATCTCTTTTCGGTCGTACCGTTTTAAACTTTTTTTATAGTATAAGGGTGGCAAACGGGCACGCAGTCCACCTTATGATAAGTGGTTGCTGTGACCCATAGACATCTACGTCTATCCTTGATTATATATCGGAATGCAAATGAGTTGCCACCCTCGAGGACTAAGATGCAATGCTTTGTTTTCATTAAAAAGTTTCTCCATTTGTCTACTCTTTCCTTACAGCAAACACAGCAGCAATGCTTCGTGTTTCGTAAGGTGAGCTGTTATTTTACGCTGGTGTTCTGTTAGAGTGTAGTCCTTCCTCGGTCGAGCCCACCCATTCGTGTTACAACCATAAAATAGCTACAACATCCGTTCTCAATTTCACGGTTTTGGTAAAAGCTTATAAGTTCTTTGTAGCATATAAGAAAACCTTGGTCGGTAAAAGAGCGTCGTTGGTCATCAGATTCACTATGCTGCCAATTTATTACACTTCTTGATGCATCGTCAGTAACATCGCGCTTCATAAAAACGGACATTTGTGAATCTGAAACATTAAACATATCCATTTCAGTTTTAAATCAATGAAATATTACAGAAATAAATTAAATATATAATTATATTAAATCAATAACGATCTGCCCCAACTTCGTACGGAGTATTTGCGGGTATCAGGAACAGCGCCGCCTAGTGGGTCTAAATATGGCTAAAAACTATTTAGGTGACTCCGTATCTCATAAAATTTTCATCAAAATACGTTTATAAGGAAAATAATTACGAACACGCTTTCAATTACGCTCATCGTAATGTTATATATAAAGATAATAATGTCCTCCAGACCGAATTTCGGCCACGGCGGCCTGCCTCAACGGAGACTAGCCATCGGCGCAGGACAGAATTATAGTGCCCAAGTGTATGCGCAAGCACAGGTGCACTCACTATTCCCTCACTCTCATATTCCGATGGGACGGTAAACCGACACGACCGGAGAGAGATCAGGCGCAGGATCAACAGTTTTACGTGCTTTCCGAGTCACGGGGGTGAGACACCGCCAACTTCCTGACTCTGGGCAACTACTAAGAATTTCTTAAAACTCTGGGCAACTACTAAGAATTTCGAAAAACTCAATAATTAATTTTTTGGCCCGAACCGGGATTCGAACCCAGGACCTCATGATCAGCAGTCGCACTACTACAACCACTAGACCAACGAGGCAGTCATATAAAGATAATATTTAGCATATAAATTGTTTATTTTCACAAAAATAGTTCATTAGTTTGTACAATCATTTCAAGCGATAAATTTTAACTATTTCTGTGCTTAAGTATATTATTTTTTTTATAACCAAGCTCACTTCTTAATGTCATGAACTCAGCAATAGAATAGTTGTAACCAAGTGCTATTCCAGCCATTGAAGCGACAAAGAATAAGCAACAAATAGCTCCGGCAATACAACATGACATTAGGAACGTCCACACCCTGAAACAGTAAGTTCGAAATAAATTGTTTGAAAATGAATTGTGGTGATGTTGATATTTAAAAAAATCTTAGATAATAACTGACATTAAATACGAAAGCAAACGGTTAGTGAAGTATAAAAAAATATCGGTGTTTTTTATAAAATTATTTGCTTTTTTGGACGCTATTTCGTTCTGAAACGCTACATTTTAAATGTGAGCAGAGCATGGAAATATAGACTAAAATTCCGTGATACGACCATTTAAATTTACAAAAACATAGAAAAACGTAAGTTGTTTCAATAAATGTATATTAGACGTAGGTATACAATTATGTATAAAAAATAAAAGTGAAAAGATATTTGTCTAAAAACATAATAGAAATATAAATAGCCGAATATAATTTGCTGCGAAAATTGAAACATTTTGGAAGTAACGGTTTTCTAAAGTGTTTTTAATAGCTTTTATTTCCTTAATCATGTTACTCGTATTTTCTGGTTGCCAGTACTTTCAAGAGTTTTTTGAGAATTTTTATTTATTCGAGTGAAAAATTAGGTCACTTCATTGTTTGCTACTGTATAGAAAGGCAATTTAAGAGGAACAAAATGGCCTTCTTATCGCTAATAAAATAAATCTAATGAATTATTTTGCTTCACGGTTAAACAACCGTGAAATAGTTCTTTTAGTAAATTATGAATTGTAATTGTAATATACTAATGTATAATTTACATATGACAGTACCGTTACAGTCTGTTAAAGTCTTGTGTTGAACTTAGGCCTCCCCCATAGATTGTCTTATCCTATAAAAAGGACATTTGCCATTGTTGCCACACTTGGCAAGCGGGTTGGCAACCACTCTTTTTATTTTTTAGTAATTATTAGGAAGACGGTACTGCTCATCTGATTTATTTTCCTCTGTCACATCTTACGACTACCTCGGGATGATATAGGGTAGTGAATAAAGTAAAAGTAAAGTAAAGTTACAGCCTATATACGTCCCACTGCTGGGCACAGGCCTCCCCTAATTTCTGAGTGGGTTTAGGTCAAGGAAGTGTCTGCCGCACCGCGCTGCCCTAATGCGTGTTGGCGAACTTCACATGACTTCGAAATATTCTTTTTTCTTATTCCTCAGATATGCAGGTTTCCTCATTATGTTTTTCTTCACCGCCGAGCACGTGGTAAATCAGTACTTAAAGCTGCAATTAACAATTTCATTGGTGCCGGCGGGTATCGAATGCGGGTTACTCGCGTATATTTACAGCAAGCGTTACCCCGGGTAGTGGATATTTACATTTTTTTAACTTTTCTAAGCCAACATTTAGATAAAATCCCACCTGATGGTAAGTGGTGATGTAGCATGAAATCGTAAAGCGCACTGACTTAACAAAAACCTATTCGCTCTCGCCTTGAAGACACCCACATTGTAATCGGATAGAAAGACAGATGCTGGCAACTTATTCCACTTCTTTGTTGTACGCACGACGAAAGACGAAGCAAACCGTTTGGTTCGAATGCGTGGTTAGTCAACAACGAAAAGCTGGAGACTGGCCGTACGTCTGGTTGTCCGAAGGTGGAAGGGAGAGGGAGGAATTGAAATTATGCAATTCCTGCGCACACTCTGCGAAATGCATACTGTAGAAGACCAAATACCGCTACTACAGGACCACTGATAACGGTAAAAAGTTACAGCCTATATACGTCCCACTGCTGGGCACAGGAGGCCTGTGCCTGTGCTCATTTCTGAGAGGGTTTTAGGGCAAGGAATTGTCCTCCACGCTGCCCCAATGCGTATTGGCGAACTTCACATGTCTTCGAATTTTTTTCTTATCCCTCTGACATGCAGGTTTCCTCACGATGTTTTCCTTCACCGCCGAGCACGTGGTAAATCAGCACTTAAAATTGCTACTACTTACTGATAACATTAATTGAATTCGAATTTTAAAGGGTTTAAGACAGAAAGCTTCACTCTCTAGTTGTTACAAATTGCCGTCATATGAGATTGCCACTTATTTTTATTATTTTAAAACGACACACAACACATATAATGTAGGTACACATCATCCCACGCTTCCATTAAAGCCTAAACTATTAGTTTTGATAATAATTATATATAGCCTTGGGAGCTAAAGGGCTTAAAGCACGCTGTAAATTTAATAGTAGTGCAAAGGACTAATTGCTCTATAATCTCTATAATCTAAATCTCTACAAGCCTGTCAAACATGAGAGAGGTATGTGTCCGGTTATAAGGCATAATACAGTATATTATGCCCCACGAAGGTTACTTTCTTCAATTAAATAATTTTACTTCGAACTTTTGCACTTGTAATAGGACTGAGGATTTTTTTATTATAGTAATAAATATTGTATTTAATAGAATCTTCAAAAACTAATGTCAAACTGACACAGTCTTATATCCTTATCGTGGAGGCAGTACTTACAACAAAATATTGTTTCAGACCAAAACGCACCTTTGAATCAAATCAACAGTATAAGAAAAATATTTAAATATGCAACACATTTTCTATTATCTTGCTCTTAACTGATAAACTGAAATTTAAATTAAAAAAGACTTTCTTAAGCTTTTGGAAAGTGCAGCATTTTGTACTATGTTCGCAAATTAGCCGTCTGGTTATTTAAACACCAATTTACTTCTTATTACTCAACGCTTGTTATACATAACTAATAATTTATTTTAATACAGTAATTTATACTATTATAACGATAAATTTAGTTCACATTTTGTGATCGAATATCTGTCAACACTGACAACGTGAAAATTTTGACACTTTATAATGTTGCCGTCATCTGTCGGGTAGCCTAGTTTAACATAAAATCTCTTTAAATTAAATGATAATATATTCTTTTTAAAAATCCCTAATAAAACGCTTGTATATATAGAGGTCAGTGGTTCAAAATAATAATACAAGATGACACTAGATACAGTTGCTACACCGATTTGCTAACGTTACTAAAAATATTGTTTTGATTTAATGATTGTCCCTGACAGTATTAGCAATATTTGTTTCGAGTTTAATTTTTATGGCTCGGTCACACTATGATCCATGCGCTGCTCACCGCTCTAGTCTTTGCGCTGGTGCAATGTTGCCTACTCTGTCCACACACTGCTCTATTATAACAATTAATCGCTCCGCACTAGGTCACTCGTGCTCGCAACACAATGGTTGTTGAAACTGAGGCAGCATGCGCGCTATATGCATATTTAGTATAGCTAATTATACCATTGTCGTAAAAAGAAATATATACGTCGTCGTCCTCGCCAACGTAGATGGTGGATGACATCTAATCATAGCATATAACGTCACTTCCGTAACGAGAGATTCGAAATGCGTTCGCGCGATTATGTGGCTGGCCACTCGTGCTCACATTGCAAGTCCTTTGATTAGCGGCCAATAAACCGACAAAACATTGACGACGAGTATTTTTGCCACATACGTGTCTGCCTCTTTTTCTCGCTACTTCAAATGCCACACGATGAGTGTGTGGCAGGGGAGGGGGGGGGGGTAAGCAAATAGGAGCTACAACCAATCATACAATTCAACTGACATTTTTATAATGTGGTTCTAAGACACCTACATCTTGTTTTCATCTTCAGCTTAAAGATATCCGGTTCTCATAATTTACCATTCAAAGTCAGCACTGAGCTTCTATTGATACTGGGATTCTTTGAGACTGGGGTCCTAGCATGGTCTATTTATGATACAGCCATAATACGGCTGCAGTGTTGCTTGCTATAACTACTAATTGATTAGATTATACATTTATTATCTATAATTATCAAAAAGCAAATATATCTAAATTATTTATTTTTATTTACCTAAAACCAATATTATTTTAACTATTGAAGATTAATGCACGTTACTTTAAAGACAGTTCGTGTAACTTTATAAAGACGAAAAGCGAAAAATTTTACGTCAAATACCTTTTGAAACAGTGTAACAAACTTCGGTTAAACAAATTAGTTGCGCAACTTGGGTCGTTCAGTTATTCGTGATACTACAAGTTTAATAGCCTTGCAGAACTACCCGATGATGTCAGTCTGTCTACATTAAACCATTTTGAAATGTTCATTGAGGGAATCTTTAATCTCAGATGGAACTTAAATACTAGGATGAAACTATTTTTAAGACTAATTATTTATTTCATTAAAGATACTATTTATGTAAACATTTAACGTACAGTGGCGATAGTCAGTCATTTATTCCATAGAACAATATTACATTGTATTGGAAAATTAATTACACAAAATGAAGAATTACTTTTACATGCAATTGACTTAAATAAAACTAAAATCGAATAAAATTTAAATATCATTTTAAAATCATTCTATATTTAATACTTTTCATGCCCGCAATTAAATATTTTTCATTTCATAATAGATAATAGAGATATAAGAATGTTCACTATCTCACATCGACCCGTATATCGTAAGGGGCGACAAAAGCAGAGCTGTCGTTTTAGCAAATTTCGCGCTAGATAGAGATAAAGCAATTCTAGGGTCTGCAGCGCTTTTTTAAATATCTACGTGCTGAAATATGTATTCTACCAGTCTACAAGATATTTTTAGCACGTAGATATTTAAAAAAAAAGCACTATATACCCTGAAATCGCACCCGATCTAGCGCTAAATGCGCTGAAATAGCAACACTGGAAGGAAACAAACCAGGAGATGGCAGCATCGTCTTTTTAATAACAAGTAAGATATAAAAAAGTGCGGTTGCACAACCACAGCCGTTACAGCCTCTCAAGAGCCCAGCAGCAAACTTTCGACAGGCTGTAACGATAACGGTAATTAACTGGTTTCTCGGAAACGGCTCTAAGGGTTGAGTTCATCTTGAATTCAGAAAAAGTTTTACTTTCCACGTTCATCTAAGTAGGTGTCATCCAAAGTTGGAGAACGTGAAGGAAGGTACGTCAAGTGTTCTAGTGCGCCTTAC